TGCCCTTCCTAATCAACCGCGGTTCTGCGCGTTAACACTTGTACCACGGCGGTGACTTCCCCTACGACACCTGCGTTTGACTTTTCAAGCCGATATGAAGGGTCGGAGTCCAGTGCTCAAACCACTTAGCTATCGCGGCAATATGTGTGTACATATATATATATATATATATATATATATATATATATATATGTATGTATGTATGTATGTATATGTATGTATGTATGCATATACACACACACACATATTTATTTGTATATATATACACACATATGCGTACACACACACACACACACATATTATACACACACACACACACATATATGTATATAATATATATATATGTGTGTGTGTGTTTGTGTATACATACATATATACTCTACACATACACATGTATATATGTATATCTATGTAGTCTTTGTGTGTGTGCCTCTATGTGTGTGTTCGTCTATATGATTGCATTGCAAGAAATTGAATCGGTATAGGCAAAGCGACAAAGTCAAAGCATTGCATATTAAACAAGGGCAGCTGTACACACGTTAAAAACTTACGTATGGATGTAGTTTATCGAGAATGAAATAAAGATATTTCCACCAGGGTATCCCCCCTCAACCCCAAATTGTGTTCTATGACAAAAAGCGATACTGCATTGCGGAAACTCTCTTAAATACATATGAATGAAATACACACACACACACACACACACACACACACACACACACACACACACACACACACACACACTCACTGACTCACTGACTCACTCACTCTCTCTCAATGCATATGGATGCTGAAAGTTTGTAAATTTCCTAACTCCCTTAATCCAAAGGCGACGGGCAAGGCATGTACATACATGACATGCCCACTTTGAGTTTACTTATTATTTGTTTTTACACATAGATGGCTCCACTTGTACTAAGTCACCAATAAGCCAATTATGAGTGCTACTTGTCTCACGTATTTACTCTTTTCCGTGATAAAAAAAAAAAAAAAAAATTATGTACACCATATATCGCTGTTCCTAATATCAATAACATTATTGATAAAAATAACACCATCGATATTCATAGCCTCAGTAAAAAAAAACATTTTTGCTGCAAATTTAAGGAAAGGTGAAATTAGGTAAGGTCACAAGATCTATTAGTTGACTCCTTAGTTGCAGAGCTATCAATTTGCAGAAACATTTCACAAAAAAATAATAATAAAATAAAATGAGCATAGCATTTTCCCAGTGACATTGAGTTAATATAATGGGTCTTATTATTGGTGTGGAATATTTGCATAGTTTCATTATATGCATATATGGACATATCCCAGTCTTGCATTCCAGAAGAAATAGTTGATCTTCTGAATTTCCAAAACTAAATATCCACAGAAGGAAAAGTCGGTATTATGGAAAACAAGTACAGATCAAAATGATACTTTTATATTTGTTAAAATAAATCAAAATACATTCAATTCTAAATAATTTTCAAACCAAAATACAATTACAAAATTCAGCTATACTATTAGCACAGCCTTATTTACTGTACATCATAATAATAATAACAATAATAACAATAATAATAATAATAATAATAATAATAATAATAATAATAATAATAATAATAACCATCATCATATATATTTCTGACGGACCCTGTTGTTATGTGGGATTCCTTCAAGCGTGAAACGCTTGATGCAGCTCAGGAATCCATTGGTGTACGCCCTAGAGCAAGACAGAATACCATCTCGCAGGAGACACTGGAAGCCACAGAAGCTTGCCGTGCAGCTCGATTGTCAGGGGATCGCAATTTGCACCGTTCTCTGGCGCGCAGGACTAGGTCACTGCTGAGAAGGGATAAGGAACAGTATATCAGTAATCTTGCAGAGGAGGTCGAAAGCCGTTTCCTAGTAAATGACCTTCGTCCTGCCTACCAAGCCCTGAGAAAGCTGAACTCCAAGCCCTCCTCACAGACGACGGCAGTCCGCTCAGCGAGTGGTCAGGTAATCACAGATCCTGATGGGGTGCGTGTGCGTTGGGCTGAGTATTTTGAGCAGCTGTATCAGGTTGATCCACCATCAGTTAACTTGGATGCTGGGAATGTTGAGACTCCTCTGCCAGACCCACTCATCAGCGAGGATCCACCCTCCCTGACTGAAGTCAGGGGGGCGATCTCCAAGCTGAAGAGTGGTAAAGCAGCAGGTGTCTGTGGCATCCCAGCTGAATTGTTAAAGGCTGGTGGAGAACCTATGGCAAGGGGCTTGCATGCAGTCCTGTCTGCCATCTGGCAGACCGGTACCATTCCCCCTGACCTACTGAGGGGTATGGTCATCCCTCTCTGGAAGGGGAAAGGGGATCGGTGGGACTGCAGCAATCACCGAGGCATTACACTGCTCAGTGTGCCAGGCAAGGTACTCGCTCACATCTTACTGAGACGTATCAGAGACCACCTCCTGAGGCACCAAAGACCGGAGCAATCTGGATTCACTCCTGGTAAGTCCACAATAGACCGCATCC